ACATTTCCTCTTGTAGTTGGAGCCCTCGGATTGACTGGAAAAGATTCCAGTAGATTAATTGAAGGGATTCCTGGAAGCCCATGCCTTAAAGAAAAAAAAATTGTACTCATAAGTACAGCCCACATCCTGACGAAGGGCTTTATCCATGGAAAATATGAATTTTTTTTAAAATTTTTCACTGGAAAATGTCATTTTGTTTTACTCTCTCTAATCTCGATGTCTGGACGATTAGCTTTGATTGTTCTGTCTGCGTGTATTGTAAAGTTCCATAAAATTGTTACAGGTCTTATCTCCATAATCGGCTTTAGGTGATGTTCATACCAATTTCTTTCAGTTTCCTTTCCGTAAATGTTGCAGATCTTCCAGTGCAGATATTGGCCCACTTTGTCATGCCGAGTTTTATATTCACTGTGTTCCAATACCGCGCAACCTGGTACAAGATGGCCAATTGTTTCTGGATATTTATTACAGAATCTACATTTTGAGCTGACCCATTTTTTGAGTCTGCGCGTTTGGTAATTTCTAGTTCGCAAGCATTGGTCTTGTGCAACCAGTATAAACTCTTCGGTTTCAGCTTTTAACTCTGCACTACGTCGCCACTCATGAATTTGTCTACATTATTATTAATATTCGTTTACGCATGGTACATGATGTTTGCTGGTAAGAAGTTTATTTTCAGGCCACCTCTTGTAGCATAATAAAATAAACCAAACCATTTTTTCTTTTCACCGATAAGCTCTATCTAGTGCTTTCCAAATTATCCTCAATGTTCCGAGCAGGTTTGTAAAGTCATCATGTCTAAATTAATGTCCAATGTCTGCACATTTTTACAGCATCCTAGTGTTCCAATGATCACTGGTACTTTAATTACTTTTTTCTGCCTGTCTCCTGTCCATTTGACATGAGAATTGGAAACAAAGAAAAAAGAAGATCGACAATTACAATAATTTAAACTATATCATTTTGAAAGTTTCTGAACGGCTACTAAAACATATGATCATTATTATTATTATTATCATCATCATCATTATTATTATTATTATTATTATTATTATTATTGGTACGTAATTGTTTCGGTCGTTTGATGATCATATTTCAGTTCTTACCCACAGAAGTCTTTCTTCAGCAAATGAGCAATTCCAAACAGCAAAGTCACCTACACACTCCCAATGATGTCAGGCAACACCAAGGTATCTTACAAGGCAGAAAGATTCCTGCAAATAGTCCCCAATGGGCCAACAATAAAAAGGACAACTTCAGCTGCCGATTGGTACATTTCACCAATTTGTCCTTCGAGCTCCTGGTAACTTTGAATTGTCAGCTGCCCCGTTTTCACAGTGTTCTTATCCCAAGATACCACAGCGTTATTAGGATCCACTCATAGAGGCAATTCGGACTATTGTTCATATCATTGTCGCCATATTTATTACAACGTTTCGGCCGTTCTACGCTCCGGCCTCCTTCAGGTGGTTGGAATGTCGAACTGAACCCTTTATTTCGCTCATTGGGGTAGACTGTTCTAGTTCCACGTGCCATGTCTAATGGATGTCAGATCAGTTATCTCCTGTTAAACCCCCTCTCCAAGTTCTCCACCGCCTTAACCAGGTATTGAACTCGAACTCTTTGGGTCCTGTCACTGGATCTAACCAACGCCTTTATCCACTATGCAATGTATCCTGTAAATAGTGTACATAATAACTCATCTCAGAAATAGAAACAGATAGAGGCAATTGTTCACAAGTATGATTTCAGGGTGATTTTTATCTATGCCACATGAATGTCATTTCCGTCTACTAACTTATTATTATTATTATTATTATTATTATTATTATTATTATTATTATTGTGCTTATGATATGGCTAAAACATATTTACAGGGTGGTCCGAAAGTCTTGTCACCTCTTACCTCTGGACCAAACTGTGTCAGCGATCTGAAATCGAAAATCATATTATATAAGCGTGACAAGACTTTCGGATCAACCTGTACTTTATTATACAGTGTAACCCGGATATAAGAGAAACCCGGATATAAGAGAGATTTTATCTGGTCCCAAATTAGAGCCTGTGTTAATGCATATAAATAGACCAAACCCGGATATAAGAGAAACCCGGATATAAGAGACTTCTTCTCCGGTCCCGACAACTCTCTTATATCCGGGTTACACTCTACAAACTCTAAACCTGTGAAAGGAACTAACGTCCAAACACATTCTTACATGATTATTGGATTTTAGAACAAATGCACGTTAATTCATACATGTATGGGGATTTTCTAGCCGTAGCTTATATGTGGCTCAAGGCCGAAGCTATGGAGCACCCAGTGAGGATCGAACTCACTACTTAGTCGTAATTGATCTAACAAGACAAGCTTGTTAACTACGTCGAAACGCCTATTCACTTATGTATTGTTAAGAAAAGTATTTATCCTGTTTAAATTATTACCGTCTACAAATGGACGTGTTGTGCTAAAATTTTAATGGTTCGACCCATTTCCTATAAT